ATGGAAAGAAAGTCGAAAATTTTAAATGGAACGCCCCATATTTTATTAGCCTACACGAAAGGGAATTTAATTCTCTACAATTTATCTATAAACATTCCTATACTTATTTATTGTAGTTTCTCTCATATTCGTAAATTTATCAAAATATGCAGAAAATGCAGGAAACCGTTTGTATTTTTATTAGAAGGCATGTCATGGCCTTCTAATAAAGGCCAGTTAGGCTTCACCTTTGACAGTTTTTTGTTTAATTTATTTCTATTATTATTTGTACTATTAACTACGATTGATAATCTTTTAGTTTACTAGCTTTTACTTACCAAAAATAACAAACAGAAGATCAAATAAATGAAACTATTAAAACAAAAAGTTAATGACAAAAATTAGATTTGAATAAAAATATAAATTTATAATATAAATTTGTTATTAAATTGAATTTGGAAATGCAATAAAATACGTTAAATTATTTATTTCATTGTCTTCATAAACTGTGTAATAAAAACTATAGCATTCCATTTAAAATAGCGAAGTTATGGTCTACTTCCGTTAGACCAGAAGTGGCGACCATCTTGAAAATATTTTAGATCGAAAGTTCCGAATGAACAACCCATGCTACCAAAATTTCAAATCTCTACGAATAGTGGAACCTGAAAAAGTTCTAACGAACCAGTTACGTGAGACACCCTGTATATATAAGGAATAAATTTGATAAAAATTCGGGGAATATTCTTTCAAAAAACCCATATTGTGAGAAATGTACAGGTGTCAAAAAATTGAGAAACAATTTCTAAGTTGTCATATTTGAACCTCCATTTTTTGTTGCAATTATGGATTCTACGTAAAATTCTGAATATTTTTCATGTAGCACACCCTATGTCGATACTCAGCTATCGAAGGCAACTCAATTTTATTTATAAAAACAAGTTCTTAATGGTATCACTCGAGATTCCGAGCATGAAACCAAGTTTACCTGGCTTAAAGTTTACTGAAGAAATAATCTCGGCCGACTTCGAAGACGTCGGCCGCCCAAAGTATTGTTCATGATACTTGGTGCGGTTGACGTCTTCGAAGTCGGTAGAGATTATTACTTATATCATTAACAATACTTGGCGCAAGCATCTACCCTGCTTGAAATTTATGGAAGGTGTAATCTTGATGTATAATCTTGAAATATTCAATGCAAATTAACTCATTAAGAATAAAATGATAGAACTACTAAATGTTTTTACGACAAAGACTTGGAAGTACAGCAATACCCCTTAGTTACGCGATAAGTGGAACTGACAGTAGCCGCGTAAATCGAAATTACGCGGCTAGTCGAAATTCGATAAATTCATATTATAAAATCAAAAATTAATAAACATTACTTTTGTTAAAAAAATGTACGTACAAATGTACTAATAATACTAGTACTAATTTTAATAAATTTATTTTCTCGAAAAAATAAAAGCAAAATAAAAATATAAGGTACATAATAGTTATTTATATTACAAGTGGGCTAGAAACATAATTACTGTACGAGTGTGGAGTGTAATCACACGAGTACTGTAACTATGCTCTAGGCCACTTGTGATATACAACATTATATCCTCGACTGCTAAAAATTAGTTAAAAATCAATTTCTTTAAAAAGGTCTATTTTGACATTCATAAAAATATTTTGAAATGATTGTTGACAATTTTGAATTAATGTCAGTTTCAATAACATGTTTACTCATCTGGAGTAAGTGTTTCGAAATGTAAAAACATAACAATTACTGTTTATAATAAATAGTATTTCGTCTTTAAATAGGTAGCACTTTTCTTTTTGTATCGTTGCTCGTTTCAATAAATTAAGTCTGTTATGATCGGGCTAAAATTGCGTTACGTAATGAAACCAGTCTGGTAATGAACTTCATTACGTAACTCAAATCACCTCAAATGAGTGTGGTAATGATGACTTGAAGAGTTGATTGATGAATGAGGAATGCAATACTTGGCGCAAATATCTACACTGCTTGAAATTTATGGAAGATAGAATCTCGGCCGACTTCGAAGACGTCGGCCGTCCTAAGTGTTGTTCATGATACTTATGGCGGCCGATTTTTAAGTCGGGAAGTTTGATGCAAAGTGAACAGAAAATGGTGGCCCTATTAACTGGGCAGCATTTTAGACATTCTTGTCTTTTGAGTTTTCTCAAACAACAAATTTATGTTACTTGTCTACAAGATGTAGATGATCTTAAAAATCGTATTCTTAGGGGCTATGTTTAAATTTAATAAACAGATGCCGAGAATGTTTTGCAAGCAACGGATGTCATGTTGAACAAACACTTTAGACATTAAGATCTAAAATTTAGGTCTACTTATCAATTCATCAATTCATTGTTATTTAAAACTGACAGGTCTCAAATTAACAGGCGACAAAACAAATGATAGTTTTGTCGCCTATTATTTCGAAAAACCTCTGATCTACTTACATAGATTATGCATTTTCTACTTAATTATTAATTTCTGTTTTTAATTGATTGGATAGTTATGGTATGTTAAAATTTTTGAATATGGCAGATAATAGAATATTAAATGTTAGTCGACAATAGCAAACAATATACAGTCAAACACACTGTATATACAGGCTGTCCTGTATCTCCCGCATCAGAGCATTATATGGTTGTAGGATACATTATTCTGAAGCGATTTTTTTAATAAATTTTTTTGGTAATGTTTATAATAACCGCACGGGAACTGTTTAACGACGTCCAATAGCGGATTCACGAATTCACAGAAAAAGTTTATTTCTCTTTCCGTGTCGAATCTATTGGAAAAATCGCTTCAGAATAATGTATCCTACAACCGTATAATGCTCTGATGCGGAAGATATGGGTATATACCTGTATATATACAGTATGTCCATGGAACTGATTTGGGTTCCAGATGAAGATTTTCAACTCTTCTTCTTAATGATAATTTCGGGTGTTCCTGAATGTAATACCAACAAAGTGCTTGCATCATTTTCATCTCTCATATCTCTTCTTTTCTCTAGGTATTCACAATAATGACTCAGTGCTTAAAAATTTCAAAATTATTTTACGGCAATTTGGGGAATTTTTCATTAAATTCCTGAATAAATCGAGGATAACATTTTTCGCCTTTCCCATAACATTGCACCAAGTAAATTTTTTGCTGTAAAGTAAGCATTTTAAGCTGACAATACTACGGCTAATAAAGTATAAAAGCGCAAGTCAATAAAGCTTGTCACTATCAACGCCTACTAGTACAAAAATAATCACAAATAAATAAACGTAGGCCGATTTTTTCGAAAATTGGTATTAGAGACTACCTTTTACTTTTGAACAACTTTTCCTAGTAACTTATTTCCTTATATTCTCTAATAAATGCACTTTACTCTTGTACCATTTAAAGTTTTTTCAATTTTCTGAACACCGCGTATAAAATATGTTAAATGTTTCTATCCCAATTTTACTCTAAGAACTAGCAAAATTTTTTATTAAGATTAACTTTTTTCGTTAAAATTGAAAAGGTTTTTCCTATTCAACACCTTTTCCGTGGACTCACGGAAAAGGGACGTGGAGTATCACGCATTTTCTATTCTAAGTTCAACCATGGCGTTGCAATATGTGTTACGCAATATTGCATTCTGTATTCTAAGGTAAGCCAAGGTACAGCAATATGTATTATTCAATATTGCCTCGATGTGGTATCAGTCGTAGCGCCTCGGCCGCGAGCGACCTCGGCTTAATTAAGCTAAATCACGGATTCTTCTAATCTAAGGCGCTGCAATATCTGTCATTCAATCGATGTGTCAAGTTATATATTGTGAGTTCTAAGCTAAACCAAAATTGCGTGCGATCGAAGCGATACAATATTTTAACTTTAGTTAACCTATTTAATGAAGCACTCAAATATTGAGTATAATTATTTCCAAGTTTTTGACGTAAAAACATTTTGTAACTTTACAATTTTGTTGTTAATGAGTTAATTTGCATTGAATATTTTCTAATTTATGGTATAAAATGTATTTATTTAATGTTGTGTTTTGCATAAATTAAATTAGTTTCGTAAAAAGCCGGTTTGGAATATAACCGTGACAGATATTTTAAGCTGCTTAAATATGCAATAATGGAATAAAATTAATTAAAATTATTTCCGGCGATGTCATTACCTCTATAATATGGAAGGGCATTTCGGAATAAGAATTTCAGCTAAATACTATTGCGGATGTACGTTTGTGTATGACCAAAATAATTGTGTTTGTTTCCAAAGGCGTGTTTCCGATTATGTCTGTAGGCGTGCAATTACAAATATTGTATGAAATAATCTCGTAATGAGCTTAGAGTAAGATTTATGAAGCAAATTATGAAATTAAATCACCGATTCCATTAAGGTATTATGTCGTTCCGCTTTGTTAAACCTAAACTAAACACGACCGCCGGAGAATCTCCGTATTCTAACAACAAATCTAGTTGTGTTGTAAGTGGAATGGTGAAAATTTAATTCGCTCATAAAATTTTATTGTTCTGCGTTGAAAAATCGAGGATACCATCGAATTTAATCACGAATTCGTCGAACCGTTAATAATACGCATACTTTATGATAAATTTCAGGCCGAAATATGTCTGCAATAAATGAATAATTGCGTTGGTGATTTATTTTTGAGTGGAATAATTGAATCGCGTAATAAACGTAATTAAATAATAGATAGTATTGTACGGGAATCGGGGCGGAACAATAATATTTTTTGTTTGCATATCAAACAGAAAACGGGACGTCGACAGGGGTGGTCAACAGCATTTTAATGAAAAAGGAACAAGTAAAATTGGATACGTATTGCGTTTCTATATTTATTTTTAGAACTAATTTCCGCATTTGCTTGGTAAATTAATATTATTAGTTAATTCCGCGGCAGCCTACAACGAAGGGGCGCCTGTTATTGATTAGCGCCCGCTGGGTCGTTATGAAGGTTTTAGAGTAATTAACCGAGAGGAACCGAGAGGTATATACATACTTGGCGGAAGGACACAGCGAGCTAGTCTTTTCGTAAAAGACCGAGAGAGATGAATACGACAGTATTCTAGCGGTGTGGATAAACTTGGTGAACAAATCGGAAAACTCTATTTGGACATCATCCGCGTTCAGCTTGCACAGTTTCTTGATCAAATCCCGCGATGTCTTCAGTTCGCCGTATGTAGGTTTGGGCGTAGGCACCGGATCATAAGATAAAGGCGTCCTTCTTTCGATCGGGTCTTGTTCATCCACTTTTTTCGATATCTCATCAATCAACGTTAGCCTCTGCTTTACAATCGTTGCGGCTCCGGAGTCCTTATTGGAAAACGGTTGAAATACGTGCTTTTCCTCACACGATATCTCTTTGTAAATGTTGTTCCGGATGTACATCAGGCACCTGCTGGACGACTTCAACAAGTTCGATTCTGCCGATTTCTAAAACAAAGATGTTACTGTTGTAACTCTCACAAGATAACTACGTGCCCCTCCTTTCTAGCTACTATATCTTGTTACCCCCCGCAATTATCAAACTACGTGCATAGATTTATCACGATGACGTGATCAGATAATACCCACCGGTTTAAAACTGTAAGGTGTAGACTGTACGATCGAATGCAACTTTGATCTGGTTTCGCACAAACTCAAATCCTTCGTCTTCTCGATAACCAAACTTGTCTCATTCGGCGCTAACAATCTATACGTGGCATCACACTTCCCATGAACATCTTCCTCTTCTTCTTCATGATCCAAATCAAACCTATTCATCGTATTATGAAGCATCGACAATAACCCTTTCTTAAAATTCATCACCCAATTTTTTTCACCAACCTCGGGACACACCTCGGAAATGATCCCATCGTGAAAAGCAAATCTTATACTAAACTCGCTTAAAGCGTCAACAAAATCGAGGTATTCAGGCTCCGGAATATCGTCTTCGTCGACAACCACTTCGTTTAAAAAAGGTTTATTACTCAGTCTTGCGTCAGTTAATGTTAAAATTCCATCACAATTTGACGTTATATCTATTGATGCTACCGTTTCTATATGTAATGTTGACTCGTTTTTACTCGTACCATCAAATAATGATTTTACATCCACTGTATATTTATAAGAATGTTCTATTCCGATTTTATATTTAAATTTTCCTCCATCTATAATAAAACAAAAAAAAAATATATTAATTTTTTTTTACTTATAGTAAACTCTTGATTAATACGGGGTAATACAATAATCTAGCGCTGAATAACAACTAAAACTAGAGCTAACACTAGCACTAGAACTAACACTAACATTAGAACTAACACTAGACCTAGAACTAGAAACATTCGGGTTTAGCCGTCTTAAAAGACGTACAGCTAAACCCGAATAATTCTAGTTCTAGGTCGAGTGTTAGTTCTAGTGACAGTGTTAGGTAGCGCTAGTAAGCCGCAGATAGCGCTAGATTGTATATTAATATTGAAGTAAAACTAGAACTAACACTAGACCTAGAACTAGAAATATTCGGGTTTAGCCGTCTTAAAAGACGTACGGCTAAACCCGAATAATTCTAGTTCTAGGTCGAGTGTTAATTATAGTGACAGTGTTAGGTAGCGCTAGTAAACCGAATTAGTGAGAGTGATTTTTTGACAAATTTTTATACCTTTGTGACTTTATCGTGTAGAAAAAGTTGGAAATTTCTTTCGTAAAAAATGGCTAGTAAAAGATAAGTAACATTCTCTATTTTTAAACTAATATTTATTATTTTGCGTTGTGTTTATTGCCCTAACAATTCCCATACATTTCCATATATCATCTATAATAATAAATACGATAAGAACAAGAAAAAACACTTTTTCCCAAAATTTCTAATATTGGAACTATGGGCTAAACGGGTCCATAAAGATTTTTAATAATTTCAGACTCAAAACTGCAGAACTCATTCAAGTAATAGAAGACGAGGATTGATGTTTTATCACTCCTCCAGATGATGGTGCTGAAGATAGCGGCAATGAAGAATTCTGCAACGTAAATAACTGGATGGTCGACAGCTTTAAGCGGAAGCTATGGCGAAAATTACGGACTTTCACAATTGCGGATAGCGACACTTACGAAGAGTCAAATAGTGACAACAAACCTTTGTCAGAAATACAAAAAAAGTTACCGAAAAAAAGAAACTGGGAAAAATCCGATCTTATTTCTGAGTTTCCGACTTTGAGAAACCGATGCAATCAGCACCCATTCCTTCTAATCCGGTGGAATACTATTATAATATTATATCATTTTTGGTAGAAATGGCGACGTTATATGTCCCAGTGAGCAGTTTCCAATGAAGAAATAAAGTGTTTTTTGGCTATATTTTTGTATTGTTCCTAGATGTAGAATGTCGTGGGAGCTAGAAACCGAATCTTGCAATATGGCACTAGTGAATTCTATGAGAAGAAATAAATTCGAAATGATAAAAAGATATCTCCACTGTGCAGATAATAATAACCTTCCTCCGGGCGACAAATTTGCAAAACTACTGAAATACTCAGAACTCTAAGAAAGTCTGAGTGTTGATGAAAGTACGGTTCCACACTTTGGTAAGCACGGGGAAAACAATTTTTAAAAGGAAAGCCGATAAGATACAGTTACAAGATGTGGAACCGTTTTGGTATTTGATGCAATTTGAACCATACCAAGGAAAAAAAACGACGAGGGAAGATGCAGCTGGTACTTCAGCGGATAAAGAAGAAAATGCAAAAACCACAAAAGAGGTAAGAAAACCAACTATAAAGGAACCAGCATTTGGTATAGGAGAGTCTGCTGCACTTGGACTGATAAAAGTCCTACCAAAACTATCAAATAAAATAGAATTGAAAAGTCTCCTGTCATGCCTTCAAAAATGGTAGAAAAGAAAAACAGAAGTTTCTATTTGGTGATAGTTGACTCAATATTCATCGTGGATTGTAAGTGATAAATAAAAGCTCCTTGCGAACGATGAAAAATTATTTATTCTTAATATAAGATCAGTGCAACATGTTTCGAGATTCAAAATCTCTTCATCAAGCACGACTAAAAAACATAAAATTGAAGCAAGAAATTTGTTATACATATTTTTTAATTTTGTTTAGTTACCGTCAATTACTTATGGAGCACAAAATTGAACATCTGACAAACGTGGTGAAATTTTGTAGGTGATTGGAAGAGACAAAAGGCGTTAACAAATTTTTTAAGGCCTTAAGGGCAAGTTAGTTTGTTAAAAATATTCTAAAACAAGATAGAGACACGTGTTATGTTAAAGGAATCGAGAAAAATGGCCACTTACTCTTCATCGTTAAAAAAACTGGTTTTTAAGAAATTGAAATTAAGAAGTTTCTATGACTATTGTACAGATTTTGCCAATAAACCAACCGTCACAAGCTGGCATGATAATAGAATAGTTTTGATGGTCACTACTTATGATTCTACGCTTCCAGAATGTAGAATGAAAACGTGGACATCAAAACAGATACAATAAATTTATGGACATAAGATTTACAGGATTTCCATTAGGTCAAAGAAGTGGCAATTTTTACGTTTTGTGTCGTTATTTTAGTGCACAACAGATGGCAACTATATAAAAAAGGAGTTGGGTAAAAAACGGATTGTTTACATTTTCGAAGAATAGGTGTGCAAACTTATTTACAAAAATATGGTATTCCCCCGGCAGGAGGAGGACATGCCAACGCAAGTGCGATTTGAACAAAGCAACCACTGGATTGTCCACGCAGAAAAACAAAATCGCTGTGCTTTCTGTAAAAAAAACACGAGATAGTCTTGTCAAAAATGCAAAGTCAAGTCTGTATGAATCCTGTTTTGTTCACTTTCACACAAGATAATGGACAATAAATAATTCCATTACTCAGAATTTAACGTGGTATCCATAAATGCAACAAAAAATGGGGGTTCCTATTTAAAAATGTTAACTTAGGCATGGCATCTCAATTTTGGGACACCCACTAAGATACCATGCCTAAGTCGACATTCTAAATAGGAACCCCCATTTTTTGTTGCATTTATCGATTCTACGTAAAATTCTGAGTATTTTTCATGTAGCATACGCTATGTCGATATTTAGCTGTCTTCGAAAAAATGACAGTTAAAAAAATACTACGACTCATTTTATTTCGGGTAAAAGATATGCGTTTGCGACTTTAACGTGTAGAAAAAGTTGAAAATTTCTTTCGTAAAAAATGGCTAGCAAAAGGTAAATGACATATCCATATATCATCTGTAATAATAGATACGATAAGTACAAAAAAAAACACTTTTCCCAAAAGTTCCAATATTGGAACTATGGGCTAAACGGGTCCATAAAGATTTTTAATAATTCCAGACCCATTACAACTGCAGAACTCATTCAAGTAATAGAAGACTCCAGATAATGGTGCTGAAGATAGCGATGAAAAACCGATGCAATCAGCACTCATTCCTTCTGATCCGGTGAAATGCTTTGAACTTTGTCTTGATGACAGTATTATATCATTTTTGACAAAAATGACGACGTTATATGTACAGTAAAAGGGTGAACTTAGTCCGAGTTTCTAATGAAGAAATAAAGTGTTTTTTGGGCAAACTACTACTATCTACTACTATTATATCTATATATTTTACATGCTTAATTCAAAATTTTTGAAATACTCAGAACTCTAAGAAAGCCTGAGTGTTGATGAAAGTACGGTTCCATACTTTGGTAAGCACGGGGAAAACAATTTTTAAACCGATACAATACAGTTACAAGATGTGGAACCTTTTTGGTATTTGATGCAATTTGAACCATACCAAGGAAAAAAACCGACGAGGGAAAATGCAGCTGGTACTTCAGCGGATAAAGAAGAAAATGCAAAAACCACAAAAGAAGTAAGAAACCCAACTATAAGGAACCAGCATTTGGTGTAGGAGAGTCTGCTGTACTTGGACTGATAAAAGTCCTACCAAAACCATCAAATAAAGTAGAATTGAAAAGTCTCCTGTCATGCCTTCAAAAGTGGTAGAAAAGAAAGACAGAAGTTTCTATGACTATTGTACAGATTTTGCCAATAAACTAACCGTTACAAGCTGGCATGATAATAGAATAGTTTTGATGGTCACTACTTATGATTCTACGCTTCCAGAATGTAGAGTGAAAACGTGGATATCAAAGCAGATACAATAAATTTATGGGCATAAGATTTACAGGATTTCCATTAGGTCAAAGAAGTTTCAATTTTTACGTTTTGTGTCGTTATTTCAGTGCACAACAGATGGCAACTATATAAAAAAGGAGTTGGGTAAAAAACGGATTGTTTACATTTTCGAAGAATAGGTGTGCAAACTTATTTACAAAAATATGGTATTCCCCCGGCAGGAGGAGGACATGCCAACGCAAGTGCGATTTGAACAAAGCAACCACTGGATTGTCCACGCAGAAAAACAAAATCGCTGTGCTTTCTGTAAAAAAAACACGAGATAGTCTTGTCAAAAATGCAAAGTCAATCTGTATGAATCCTGTTTTGTTCACTTTCACACAAGATAATGGACAATAAATAAATCCATTACTCAGAATTTAACGTGGTATCCATAAATGCAACAAAAATGGGGGTTCCTATTTAAAAATGTTAACTTAGGCATGGCATCTCAATTTTGGGACACCCACTAAGATACCATGCCTAAGTCGACATTCTAAATAGGAACCCCCATTTTTTGTTGCATTTATCGATTCTACGTAAAATTCTGAGTATTTTTCATGTAGCATACGCTATGTCGATATTTAGCTGTCTTCGAAAAAATGACAGTTAAAAAAATACTACGACTCATTTTATTTCGGGTAAAAGATATGCGTTTGCGACTTTAACGTGTAGAAGAAGTTGAAAATTTCTTTCGTAAAAAATGGCTAGCAAAAGGTAAATGACATTTCCATACATTTCCATCTGTAATAATAAATACGATAAGTACAAAAAAAACACTTTTCCCAAAAGTTCCAATATTGGAACTATGGGCTAAACGGGTCCATAAAGATTTTTAATAATTCCAGACCCATTACAACTGCAGAACTCATTCAAGTAATAGAAGACTCCAGATAATGGTGCTGAAGATAGCGATGAGAAACCGATGCAATCAGCACTCATTCCTTCTGATCCGGTGAAATGGTTTGAACTTTTTCTTGATGATAGTATTATATCATTTTTGGCAAAAATGACGACGTTATAAGCACAGTAAAAGGGTGAACTTAGTCCGAGTTTCTAATGAAGAAATAAAGCGTTTTTTGGCCAAACTACTACTCTCTACTAGTACTACTAAGCCGATAAGATACAGTTACAAGATGTTTTGCCTCTGCGAACCTTTTTGGTATTTGATGCAATTTGAACCATACCAAGGAAAAAAACCGACGAGAAAAAATGCAGCTTGTACTTCAGCGGATAAAGAAGAAAATGCAAAAACCACAAAAGAAGTAAGAAAACCAACTATAAAGGAACCACCATTTGGTGTAGGAGAGTCTGCTGTACTTGGACTGATAAAAGTCCTACCAAAACAAACTAGTAACTAATTTACAGGAAAAACATATGGATGTACAGGAACTATCAAATAAAATAGAATTGAAAAGTGTCCCGTACTGCCTTCAAAAGTGGTAGAAAAGAAGGACGGAGGTGTCTATGACTATTGTACAGATTTTGCTAATAAATTAACCGTTACAAGCTGGCATGATAATAGGAAAGTTCTGATGGTCAGTACTTATGATTCTACGCTTCCAGAATGTAGAGTGAAAAGGTGGATATCAAAACAGAAAAAAGGTTGCCAGTTGCATAACCTCATGTAGTAGCTCAATACAATTAATTTATGGGCACAAGATTTACAGGATTTCCATCAGATCAAAGAAGTGACAGTTGGTAATTTTTGCGTTTTGTGTCGTTATTTCGGTGCACAACAGATGGCAACTATATAAAAAAAGGACTTGAAAAAGCAACCGCTGGATTGTCCACGCAGAAAAATAAATAAGTGAAAAATAATAAATAGTAAATGGGTGTTCCTATTTAAGAATGTCAACGTAGGGATGGTATCTCAATTTTGGGACACCTGTATATTTGAATTTAATCTCAAAAAATACGCGTTAAGAAATATAACATAGATGTCCAAGCCTTTTTTTTGAAAGAATATGCCTCGAATTTTTATCGAATTGATTTCCTACGTTATGTACACAGTGTATATAAGTTATAAAAGTATAGATTAATTTTGATGGAAGTGATTTTTGGTGAAAAATTGTTAGGTAAAGAGTTTTTCAATAATTAAATTAATGTTCAATAAGAAGAGTAATTTGAAAGAAGTAATGAATGAGTGGTTAAAAGAGTAAGAAGTTATTGGGATTACAGTAAATCGAAGAAAGTTAAAAGTGCTGATATCGGAAAAATGCGAAAGCCTATCTAGGTGATCAGTTGTTTTTTGTGGTAAAAAGAAACTTCCCCACCTGGCAAGAAGTTGGGGAAGTCCGTCGCGGAAGTTTCGCGATAGATATCCAATCGGGCGAACTATGGTATAGAGTAACAACGTAAAATGAATGTCAAAGTTAAATCGCTGGAGATTTTTAGGGCCATTACTTTCCAACTTATCTCGGCAACTGTAGGTGTTCTATTTGGTTCGTTCTCGTACGGGGATGTATTGATACCGAGCGAAAGATTAGGGTGGCTATTATCGGTGGGTACAGTGTGAGATGGTTGAACGAGAAGGAGATAGAGATAGGTCGCCGGGGACGTAACATCTTTAGCAAATTGGCAACGCGGGAGAAGTTCGCGGTATGTTTAAACGTCGATTAATTAAATTTCGGCCAATTAGGGGCGTCAGCATATTTCATCCGGAGCGTAACTCTAACGAATCGAAGATAGTACAATGAGCAACCGGATTCCGGCTGGAAATTGGCTGGAATCTCGCGCCGGCTCCCCGAATCTAATTAATCTTTTTCAAATGCTGCCCGAACTGGCTGCGGGACGCGAGCCAATCCCTTATGTAATTAGGCCAAACATAAGTCAAACCCTTAAACGCGGCCAACAACCTTTAAACAAAACAGAATTAAATATCCGCCGTGGTTAATTAAATAATCGCCGATTGTTTGGAATTAATATCAAGAGCGACGAGATCAACTTATGTACGCAACGAGGGGGAGACCATTAATAATATAAGAGGCAACCCTAAACTCTTCAAACTTGCCTGG